ACAGTCTGGAAGAAAATTACACACCTGAAAAAAAAGCTTCAGAAGCAATATAGTGGTCGAAAGGTCAGGTTCTGAAACCCAAAAAGCCATATTTTATTTGAATCTTAGACACTTACTAGTTAGGTAACTTTGGGCAGGTTAATCTTTCAAAGTCTCATTTTCCTCAGCTTTAAAAGGTGAATGATAATATTGATAGCATATACCTCTTATATTATAATTTTTAAATGATTTAATACATGCAAAGTATTCAACACAACAATGGGAACTCTGCAACACAAACTTATTTAAGAAATACAAGTTTTTGTAAGTTAGACATTAATGTAATCTACTTGTTATTTGTGAAAAATTATGATGGTTTCAGCACAGTAGAATGAACTGGAATAGTAAGGAGATATTTAGGTCACAGAAAATGATGCTCTAAATCAATAGCAATAGAGAACTTCATTGGCACTGCTGCTTCACCATCCTTTCTTCCCTTGTTATCACAACTCCCTGCTTGGTTCAGTTGTACCAACATTGACCCCTTCCATTGATCAACCCTTAAAATTCATTGCTATGAAAATAAAGTGCAAACCCCTTTAAATGGTTTAAAGGGGTGTCCTTCATGATCTTGCCCTCTGCGTAACTAGCTAATATAGGTACTGACCTTTCTCCATCCTCTCAGTCAGTCACCAGCTAGCTCTGCTCCACTCGTGGGGTACTGTGATCTCTCTTCTCTGCATCTTTGTACAAACTTCTTTCTCACCATGGAATGACTTGTCCATAGCCCTGCTTGTCCTTATTCAACTACCTGATGTCATCTCTTCAAGCAAGCCCTCAGAACCCCATAAGAAAGGGCTTAATACGCATATTGAGTAGCCAATACAACTCTGTACCAATTTATATCATAATATAAGTAATGCTGTGTCATAATCCCATATCTGCTTTGTATATTTGTCTTCCAGAAAAGGCATTATGTTTCCAAAGTACAAGATATGTTTCTTATTTATCAATTAATGCCCAGCATCTAATAGAGCATCTAGTTTATAGTAGACAATATAGAAATATTTGTTGAAGAAAATAAATGGATAAATAAGTCATTGAAATATTTAACAACAGATTGTGACAATTGCATAAAGTAAAAGGGTGGAAAAAATAGTCTACTTAAAAAGTGTGGTTTCGTGCTCATAATAAGAAAAAAGATCTATAAACAGTTAGTGTAATTACACAATTCATCATAATGATTTTACTACATTTTGTCATATGTAAAAAAGGCTTCAGAATGGGCAAAATAAAAAATAAAATCAACTTTAGTCCTCAAGCAGGCAGTAGAAAAACAAAAATTACAAATGTATCCATACAAAAATTCCAAAGAATTTGACACCATTTGCAAAGTTAAACATAAAATTTCTACCTATTGAGAAGGCTAGGAGTGAATAACCAATGACACATAAGAGTCAAATGAAACACCAGTGCACAGTATCACACAGGTGTTATTAGCTAGCATGCGGAAAGGAGCAAGAAAAGGCGAAAGGTATATGCAAGAAGGGAGGAGAAAGAGAATTAAGGGGAGGGAAGCTGGGCGACTAGGCAAAGGGATTAGGAAGTACAAATTGGTAGTCACAAAATAGTCACACGGATGTACAGTACAGTATAAGGAATCCTATATAATAAAAGCCTAATATGCAAATCGACTGAACTGCTGAATGACCAGTCACAGTGACGCGCACTGACCACCAGGGAGCAGGTTCTCAACACAGGAGCTGCCCCCAGACCACAGGCCCCAGGCCAGCCAAGGCGGGTGCCAGTAGGGGGCAGGGCCAGTGAGCGGGTGGTGCCCAGCCAAGGCGGGTGCCAGTGGGGTTCCCCGATTGCCCCGCCAGTTGCCCCACAGATGGTCCTGATCACTGGCCAGGCCTAGGGACCCTACCTGTGCACAAATTTTGTGCACTGGGCTTCTAGTAGACAATAATATTGCAATAACTATGTATGGTACCAAGTGGGCACTGGAAATATCGGTGGGAACACCGAAAATTATATGATTGTCTAACCACTATGCTGTACACCTGAAACCAAAACAAAATATTATTGTTTAATGAATAAAATATATGGCAAAATATATTTTAAATATCTATATCTCCCAAGGTTTACCATCACTTTTGACACCATAGATTCCTTTGGCACTCTGGTGAATACTATGAACCTCATCTCAGAATTTTAATGCATAAAATAATATACATGGAAGCATAAATCAATTATATTGCAACATTGTTCTTTGCCTTAAATTAGGTACCTTTGGTACAAGGTGAAAATCATTTTAATGAAGAACAACCTTGCTCATTGAGTGTAAGATTTCATTTTATTTGTAATACATATGAAGTATTAAAATGAGGTGATTTGCCTATCTGCATCATTGATTCAATATGGGGAGTTTTCATTGAAACAATAAGTAATGACCATGTCTGAATGTCTTGTTAACATGTATCAAAGCCCTACTGGTCTGCATACCTGTCTTTATTCAATTGAATCTTAGATTCATTCTAACCCTGCTAACTAAATTTATGTTTCGATGCCCTCAGGCACCTGATTATGGACTCAGAGACTACATTGCTCAAAAGCACAAATCCTAAAAGATTTTAAAGAAAACAGTAGCATACTATTTCCAATTATAAATAGCTATACACAATTTTTCAGTGTATGGCTTATATGATGTGCTGGCGTAACTGTAAATAGAGTAATGCATCTATGTGAACTAAGGAAAACTCTGTATGCTTTTATCTACATGCTCTATATACTACTATTTTTACTATTTTGAATTTATTCTTTTATATTGATACTATTGGCCCGGTGCACGAAATTCATGCACGAGGTGGGGGGGAGGGGGTTCCTCAGCCCAGACTGCACCCTCTCCAATCGGGGACCCCTTGGGGGATGTCAAAACAGGCAGTCGGACATCCCTCTTGCAATCTGGGACCGCTGACTCCTAACCGCTCACCTGCCTGCAGGCCTGATCTTCCCTAACCATCTCTGCCACAGCCCAGCCAGCATGTCTTTGTCTGAAAGGATGTCCAGAAAGTTGTCCCGAAGTTGTTTGGTCTAATTAGCCTATTACCCTTTTATTAGTATACTAGAGGCCCGGTGCACAAAAATTTTTGCACTGCGGGGGGGGTTCCTCAGCCTGGCCTGTGCCCTCTCGCAGTCTGGGACCCCTCAGGGGATGACCACCTGCTGGCTTAGGCCCACTCCCAGGGGGATTGGGCCTAAGATGGCAATCAGACATCCCTCTGGCAGCCCGGCAGCCCTCGGGGGATGTCCACTTGCCAGCGGGGAGCGGGCCTAAACTGCAGTTGGACATACATAGCACTGCTGAGGAGGCAGGAGAGGCTCCCACCACCACCGCTGTACTGGCAGCCATCAGCCTGGCTTGTAGCTGAGCAGAGCTCCTCCCATGTGAGAGCGCCCTGACCACCAGAGGGCAGCTCATGCATTGAGCGTCTGCCCCCTGGTGGACAGTGTGTGTCATAGTGACCAGTCATTCCCAGTTCTTCTGCTGTTAGGGTCAGTTTGCATATTACCCTTTTACTATATAAGATAGAGGCCTGGTGCATGGGTGGGGGCCAGCTGGTTTGCCCTGAAGGGTGTCCCGGGTCAGGGTGGGGGTCCCGCTTGGGTGCCTGGCCAGCCTGGAGGAGGGGATGATGGCTGTTTGCAGCTGGTCACATCCGCTTCAGGGTGGGGGTCCCCACTGGGGTGCCTGGCCAGCCTGGGTGAGGGGCTGAGGGCCGTTTTCAGGCTGGTGGGTGACTGAAGCTCCTAACGTCTCCTTTTTTTTCTTTTTTTTTATTATTCTGGGATTTATTTACCTTCTATGGCTGTCACTGGAACTGAGAGCCGGCTTTAGCTCTGAGGCCCAGCTGGCTGAAAGCAGGTTTCTGGGATTTGTTTAGCTTCTATAATTGTAACATTGTTTCTTAGAGTGCAGCTCAGAGGCTGGCAGCGGCAGGCGGGGAACCTTGGCTTCCTCCATCACTGGAGCAAGCAAGCCTCCTGTTCACTTCAACTGCCTGGCTGCCGGCCGCCATCTTGGTTGGCAGTTAATTTGCATATCGCCCTGATTAGCCAATGGGAAGTGTGTCGGAGGTATGGTTAATTACCATGTTTGTCTATTATTAGATAGGATATTAATTTCAGAGAGTGAGGGAGATAGAAACATCAATGATGAGAGAGAATCATTGATTGGCTGCCTCTTGCACACCCCACACTGGGGATCAAGCCCACAACCCATGCATGTGCCCTGACCAGGAACTGAACTCCGGGCCCTTCAGTCCTCAGGCAGAGGCTCTATCCATTGAGCAACACCAGCCATGGCTACACTTTCCCTTTCCGCTGGGACATGTTCTGTCTGCTGGAGCTGAAACACTGAAGCTGTCTCACTGGGGCAGAGTGGGGTGCACTGGGCAGTTCAGGGCAGAGTTGGGTGCACTGGGTTGGAGCAGGTGGAGCCCCCTGAAAGCTGGAGAGGGGCCTCGTTTAACAGCCACACTGTTTCATGGCTGTGCTGCCTCGCAGTTGAGCGGCCACACTGTTGGGCTGTGCCACAGTCAGCAGGAGTTTACACAACTGAACTGTCTGCACGGATAGCTTCCTCCTCACCACACCCCCAAGCTAGGGGTTCCTCTTAGGGTTGAAGTGACACTGACCACCCTTGGTTGGTAGCCCAGTCGGCCACTTTGGAAAGAGAAGTGGGGAATCCTGATCTTACGTGAACGCTCCAATTTCTTAAGTTGGCAACTAATGCGAACTTCAGATGTTTGGGCCAAACCAGAGAAGAGGTCAGGCCTGGTATCCAGGCCACTGGGCAGCACTGGGCTCAGCCCAATGTAAAGGGACCCTAGGCATCTGGGCAGGTGAAAGGGTTGGGAGCGTGCTTGGGTAATTCTGATGTCATCCCACTTGGTGTTTTTTTCCCACTGATCACAATTTATTATAATCTGTTGGCAGCATAGATAGATATCAGTTACCAGAACTATGTCTTCATAGAAGTGGACAGTATGTAGCCATTCTATGGGGAACTGTGTGCACTTAATCATCAGCATGATCTTTCAGTTTCTTTATTGTTGTTGTTAATGAAAGTAAGCTTTATTACATCAAGTAATAAATACATGCAAAGATGCAAACACTATTAGTCACTTTCTTCCAGATGTTTGGATCCACTGAAGGGAAAGGCGGAACTGAAATATACATACATCCTTAGGGGAAATTTCAGGGGTCCTTGTCAGGCAAGGTTTGATAAGTTGCTCTTTCTTCTGTATTTATAATTTGTGCATTTTAAAGATTGACTTCAAAGTACTAATATTCATGCATATTATTAAGCAAAAAAAAAAAGTTACAATGAGCAGAATTTATACTGTGTGGCGAACGGGCACTGGCTACTAAAGCACTGCCTCAGGACTTGCTGAAACAAACCCTCAGAGTTGAATCAGCTCAGAAGAGAAACATAAACATGTGAGGAACAGAAATGTATCCAGAAGAGAAACACGGCATCTCGGAGGCCAACTATGGTTTGCTGTGATAGGTAACTGATGTGCATCATTTAAATTAATGCTTTAAAAAAAACAGCACACACACACACACACACACACACACACACACACACACAAAACGCTCTGGGTAGTTCCTAACTAATATGTAAACCTAATAACTGCAAAAATCTCTTCTCCATCTCAGCGACGGGAAGTTCGGAGCCTGAAGAACCACGGGAGAGGCACGGGGAGGAGAAACCAAGCTGTTACCATTTTGAAACCAAGTTTCCTCTGAAGGGGTCGGGGTGGGAGGGGGGCAATAAGCTGTCATTTCTTGGAAGAAGATGGAAAGCCTTTCGCGCTGACTCGGAGGCTAGGACCTGGCATTCCGCTCCCTCTCAGCCAAGCACTCCCGAACCAGCCCTCTCACGTGGATGATGCCTCGTTTCAGTCTCTCCATCGCGCTCTTGCTGCCCTCGTACCTGGGTCGGATCTCCTTCCCCAGCTCTTCCATGATGGCCAGCAGCTCAGCATATTTGCTCCGGGGCACCTGGCTGTTCCCCGTTCCCTGCGTGTAGCCTAGAGATGGTGGTCCGTAGTCACTCAGCAGCTGGCCATCATGTGGGGTGTGCAAGCAGCTGGGAGGACATCGCCATGCCGGTGGAAGGCGGGTGGACGCTCCCAGCGGCATTGAGGGCGGCAGCGGGCATGTGCGGTCAGGTTCAGTTTGCAAGACATTCCCCCGGGCGTGCGCCCGCCGAGCTCCCGCACACTTTTTATTGTTAACAGCTCGGGCGCACCGGCAAATATGGCTGCCCCTCACCCTGACACCACTGCAGTATCATGATCTTTCAGTTTCTTGATGTTCTGCTTGTGCCGATCAATTTCTTTCTGCAGATGCTCAATCTCCTTTTTATGATGAGTGATCTCTTCTTCATGTTGTTTCTTCAAGGCTGCCAGCTGTTCTTTAGTCCGCTCTCGGAAGTATCGTTCCTCTTCAGCCTTCTCTTTTTTTGTGAAGGTCCCACCGGCTTCCCTGTTCGCACCCGCCTCGAAGCTGAAATTAGCTGACCTTTCGCAGCCAAAGCCTCCGGCTTGCATGGCCCGCACTCCGCACACTGTGAGCCACAGCCGCACTGCCGACTCGGAGACTGCCATGGTTGGCAGTGCCGCGCAGCTCCGGACCACCCCACTTGGTTTTAAATGCAAACCCGCCTTGGACAGGCCTTGAAGGTCTTTTTTCCTTCAGTCTGCTCACATTCAAGTGCCGGCAGCGCTGGTCCATTGGTGCCTGACCTGTCCTCTTCAGATTCAATCGCAGGACTACTAAGGAAGCCAGTCCAAGGGAGGGGAAGCAGCCTCAGTGCCCTAGACTGAGTTCCAGGAGGCCGACAGCACAGTTGGGATTGTGCTGGCAGCACTGGTCCATTGGTGTTTGGCCTGTCCTCTTAAGATTGACCCTGCAGGACTACTAAGGAAGCCAGTCCCCAGTTCCACCCCACTCCCAATGCTGCATGCACAACCTCCTCCTGTTTGGTCCTGATGGTGTCCCTGCCTAATTAGCATATTTTCCTAATATATATATACTAGAGGCCCGGTGCACAAAAATTTGTGCACTGGGGGGGGGGGGCACAAAAATTTGTGCACTGGGGGTGGGGGATGGGGGGAGTGGGGGAGATGGGGAGGTGGTCCCTCAGCGCAGCCTGTGCCCTCTCACAGCCTGGGACCCCTTGGGGGATGACCACCTGCCGGCTTAGGCCTGCTCCCTGGGGGATTGGGCGTAAGCTGGCAATCAGACATCCCTCTGGCCACCCGTGAGCCCTCAGGGGATGTCCACTTGCCAGTGGGGAGCAGGCCTAAGCTGCAGTCGGACATCCTTAGCGCTGCTGAGGAGGCAGAAGAGGCTCCCACCACCACCGCTGTACTGGCAGCCATCAGCCTGGCTTGTGGCTGAGCAGAGCTCCCCCTGTGGGAGTGCACTGACCACCAGGGGCAGCTCCTGCATTGAGTATCTGCCCCCTGGTGGTCAGTGTGTGTCATAGTGACCAGTCATTCCCATTCGTTCTGCTATTAGGGTCAGGTTGCATATTACCCTTTTATTATATAGAATAGAGACCTGGTGCATTGGGTGGGGCCAGCTGGTTTGCCCTGAAAA